AAGAATTTTGAAAAGAAAAGAAAAATTGTTTATAGAAAATATAATGAAAATTATTTATCATTTGCATTTAATTTGAATGGAGGTGAAGTGAATCCTCAATCTTGATATGTTGATTGCTCTGAAATATTATCCAATCAAAGTATGACACCATCTTTTCTGAAAGATATCTTGAATCTAAACAAGACAGTTTAAAGGATAAATCTTAAGAATATTTTAAGAGGAAATTATCAGAGTTCAAAAGATAGTAAACGAGTAATGAAAGGTTTTGTTACTTGAAGGAAAAAACCTTTGGATGCTAGTTAGCTAGTAAGCCTAAGAATTGCCAAGACTAGGCAGACTATGCTAATAGAGAAAACCTTATATTACCAACAACTAAAGATATTGTTTTAAAATTTTTGAATGAAACAGTGGCTCAGTGAACTTAATAATATACCATTATCAAATGATACACTAAAACTTTGGAAGCTAGTTACCTAGTAAGCCTAAGAATTGCTAAGGCTGGGCCAAAGAAAGTTTATGTAAAGAAGGAAAGGCTCCATAGACGTAATGTAAACCAGTTTGTCTTCTACGCTGCTAGAAAGAAGAGGGACAATTCGCCAAGGGATTTGGCGAGAATTTCCCCCTTTGTGATGTACCTGGCCGAGATTTTTCACCTCCGCCACATATACAGGAAATTGAGGAACATGGGTTAAGATGAATCGTTTTTTGACTTTTCGCGATAATTTAAACTCGAATTTTCGTGCTTTTTTGCTTTATTAGTTGAACTTGTATTACCCATATCACAGTTTGATGTCTGATTTTATATCTGTCAATATGTAGGGGGGAAAATGGAGTCACACAGCTTTAAACTCTTGATAAACGTAACCGTCGAACCTGTTTGAACTTCGAAATCAGCTTCGAGCTTTGGCGCTTTTTGGCGACAGATATTTCACGCATGCGCAGTTGTGTCCCTTTTCGTTCGGAGGGAACCATTCCTGCTGCTGCTGCGAAGCTTTCCTTCTTAACAATACAAATTCTTTGGCTGGGCAAGACTACACTAACGAAGAAAACCTTATACAGTACAAAGTCCGTAAACCGGACTCGTCAGGACTTCGGCAATTCCGGATTAGGGGTTTTTCAGGATTATAGATCATCAATTTAAATCTGGTAACATGGCATGAAGAAATTATACAATTAAAAATATGAAACTGTAATTTATGAAATAAAGAGCAATTATGATCTAAAGGGTATCAAAATTAACAAAAAAAAGTTTAATACAGTCAAAAGTCGTTAATCCAGACTCGTCGGGACTTCGGCGATTCCAGATTATCGATTTTTCCGGATTATAGATCATCAGTTTAAATCTCATAAGATGGCATGCAGAAATTCTAAAATTAAAAATATGAAACTGTAATTTATGAAATAAAGAACAATTATGATCTAAAGGGTATCAAAATTTGCAAAAAGAAAAAGCTTAATATTTATTTGTTTACTTTATTAAACATTTCTTCAATGTAAGTTGTTTAAGTTTTGCTTCGTTTCATGTAATAATACTTTCTCTTTAATTCTATTAAACAGATATAATTTCTTGTTCAGTTACAAATTTTTTCATAAAATGATAAATTCCATAAAAGAGACACTTATTCAAAAAATAAAACATAGTGAGTATTTCGCATTGCAGTTGGATGAAAGTACTGATATAACGAACATTGTTGAATTATTACTTTAAATGTTTTTCGAAGAAGATAAACGAATAGCTGAAGAGTATTTGTTTTATGTATCTCTACATGATAGAGCCAACTGCAAGTGAAATTTTCACTTGCAGTTGCTCTATCAAAGTACTTGACAATTTTATGTCTGAGAATGATATTCCATGGCATAAGTGCATTGCCGTATGCAGTGACAGAGTTCGGACCTTAACAGGAAAACATTTTGGAGAGATTTCTCAAGAAAGTTGCACCTGAAACTAAATTTACTCATTGCTTCATTTATCATGAAGTTTTGAAAAACCTGAAAATCGCTTTGAGTCAAGCTGTGAAAATTGTTAATTTTATCAAAATCCTAGCTTTAAATTCAAGAAATTTTATGATTTATGCCAAAAGATGGGCAGTGAACATGAAACATTTTCGTTACATTCCAAAGTAAGATGGTTGGTTACCCAAACACAAAGTTTTAAATTGTCTTTTTAAGCTTCGATTATAAATTCAAATTTTCATTGAATTATGGTTAGCATATTTAGCTGATATTTTTGGAAAGTTAAATGTGGGGACAAAGTGTTAATTAGTTTACCATTAGCGATAAAACAAATACAATGATAAAAAGTAATCAAAGAATTGTATAATAATATTTTAAGCTTTTAGAAAGTTTTCGAACAAAAAATAATTTGAAAATTTGGCATCTGACATTAAAAATCAGTATTTTTCATTGATAAATAATTCCAGCATGTATTTTCCATAGGATTATGAAAAAGCAAAATGGTTTAGAAATCCATTTGGTTCAAATGTACCTGAAATGTTAACCTCATGAAGAAAAAGAATATTTGATAGAAATTTCTGTGATCGAACTCCAACTGAAGATTTAAAAAAATCTATGCATTAAAACTGCACATTGAAAGCGATTGTGCATTAAAATCTGCCTATTTGTTCAGAAATTTGACATGTGCAAATTCTCATAATTTTGCACTCAAATGGATGTAAACAAGCTAAAAAAAAATACATCAAAATTGCACAAAATTTGTGTTTTAGTGGCTGTACTAAATCCCAAGCATTTAACACACACACTTATATATATACAGTCAAAAGTCGTTAATTCGGACCTCAAAACTAAAAACTTTCTGCGCATGCGCCGCGTTGACACATGCGCATAGGCGTTTACGCGTGCACGTAAGACCTTTTTACGACTGCGCATATGAGTCTGCGCAAGTGCAGAATACGTTTTCGCGTGCGCGTTTTATGTATGATGGACGTATAAGCTAAAATTATCTAATTATCTATTTCAGTTAATGTTGATGATTGTGTTGTTCCTTAATTTTCGAATTGGATCCGGCTTATTATTTTTTGCAGACTGTAAGAGCAATTTTATAAAAGTAAGCTTAAACTTTCGATTATATCAAATTGAATTTCCGATATATATTTCTTAATATGTAAAGGATCTAAAGCGAAAGTATGTTTTGAAATCCGAAATCTGTTTATCAATTTCACGCTGCTCGCGGGGGGGGGGGAACGCCGCGGCGGGTGAGTAATGAATTGGAAGTTGATCTGTCAGCACTATCCTTATCTTCAGTGCAGATGTTTTTATTTTATTTGGCTTATAATTCCTTACCAAATGTAGTATTTCATCTCGATATGCTCCGTCTTTGATATGATTTAAAACAAGTTTCTCGTCATTATAATTCGCTTCCGATAGCGAAGAAAAGTGACAGAGGTTATTGAAAAAATTTCGATTGACAAATTAGTCCGTGTTCTCGACACAGCAATTATAGGACTTGAACAGTGGAACTTTGTAACTGAACAAAACAAGAAAAGAAATTATGTCTGTTTAATAGAATTAAAGAGAAAGTATTATCACATGAAACGAAGCAAAACTTAAACAACTTACATTGAAAGAAATGTTTAATAAAGTAAACAAATAAATATTGAGCTTTTTCTTTTTGCAAATTTTGATACCCTTTAGATCATAATTGTTCTTTATTTCATAAATTACGGTTTCATATTTTTAATTTTAGAATTTCTGCATGCCATCTTATGAGATTTAAACTGATGATCTATAATCCGGAAAAATCGATAATCTGGAATCGCCGAAGTCCCGACGAGTCCGGATTAACGACTTTTGACTGTATATTGTAATCAGTGGGATCTTGAGTGTGCTAATTAATTGCCGTTATCCCTTGATCATCATTATCACCCTAAAAAAAAAAAAAACAAAAAAAAAAAAACAAAAAAAAAAAAAAAAAAAAAAAAAAAAAAAAAAAAAAAAACAAAAAACAAAAAAAAAATAAAAAAAAAAAAAAAAAAAAAAAAAAAAAAAAAAAAAAAAAAAAAAAAAAAAAAAAAAAACAAAAAAAAAAAAAAAAAAAAAAAAAAACAAAAATGCTTAGATAATCAGTACTGACCATTTTATACACACCTGTAGAAAGTAGATGATCCTCAGTTTTTAAAATGGAGCTAGAAGAAATTGTAACAAATCAGATGATAGATTTCAGAAAGATATTTTCAAAATAATGCAATTTTTCTTGCAGTCTTGTTTGTTAGAAAAGTAATGATTTTATAAAAATTTGACTTATATTCTCTGTGTTTGTTACAAATCAAATAAATTAAATTTTAGTTAATGTGTCATTTTTTTACAACTTTTCAGTTTCTCAAAAAATAACAGATAATTATAAGTTTTGAGTGTTAAGAGTGTTAGAAAATGGTGAGGTCTTATAATTTACGGATAAAAATACAAATGAAATTTTCCAGTACTCTGCATTATGCAATTATTTTTGTATTTGGAGGTATTTTTTTGTAAGTTCGTTTTAAATGTTTTTATATTTGCGTGGATAAAATTATTGTTCATAATTATAAATTTCTTGGTGGAAAGATTTCTAGGTGGAGATGTGTAATTCGAAGGAAGGGTCCAAACCATGACTTTAATGCTCACTATCTCGTAAAATTATTAAAATATGGTAAAACTGAAAAAAGATGGAAAGAAATTTAGTAATTATGCTTAATTAAATTGCAATTAACCTTTAATGTGATTTTATTAAATAAATCTTATTCGCTTCTTTTGGGAGATGTAATAAAGCTAATCGGTCATTTTTTATGATTCATCAATTTTTTACACTATTTTTTTGCGAAATGACCTTTTTTTTTATCAGGTTGGAAAGGGAACCAAATTTTCAGCTCCTAAAATTTTGTTATAGAGGGATTCTACTGCATTTGCTTTTTATGCCTCTCCTATTTATTAGTCTACTTGTGTTGTTGCTTCTATTATAAAGTAATGTGAATTAAATTTTATTAATTGAATGTTCATTTCTTTTTTAGTTTCTAAGCATGGCGGCTAAAAAGCCAACAATAACACGGGTAAGTTATTGTAGGTTTAAATTCATTTTCATATTTACTATTTTACTGGGTTTAATTTAAATTCTTAAAGGTATACATGGGATTCAGATTTTTTTAGCTAATTTGTTATGATTACATTAACATATTTCTGCATGAAAGTAATTTTAATATGTTTCTTAGTAGTTTATAGATGTAGTTTTATTGACAAAATAAATTTTAAAAAATTTAATTAAAAAATTTATAGTGTTTTCATGTACTTTAAATTGCTGAAAAAATAATATAGGCTGTGCATTTTTAAACCTATATTCAGTGGTTTAATTTGATACATTCTGAATCTGTTACTGGGACGGCAGATTCGAATCTGTTTACACCTCAACAGTATATTTTGGTTTTAATGTCCTGTTGAATTCTTGGGTTTAGCTATACTATCACTCCTTCACAATATCAAGAGACCTGTAGAATTGTTCTAGTATATGAATATAAATGCAATTCATCTGTGCTTGAAATTAATGAAACAGGTAAAGGAACATTTATAAAGACATTACGAGATCAGTTTTGCATGTCCTAAACAGAATGAGAAAATTTAAATTATCTTTCATTGAAAATGAAGAAAGAGTTTATAGTTGCTGTATAGTATAGTTTATTTAGAAATGTTGCTGAAATTTGATATCATAGCAGTATGCATATTGTGCAAATTTATTGAACCTGAAGGTTAGGTATGTATTTCTTGTGTGTAGAAAGGTATGATTGAAAGCTGATTTCTATTTTCCAGTATTTTTTTGTAGTTTGCAAATGCTCGTGCCTCATTGCAGGATTAGGAGTATACAGTCAAAAGTCTTTAATCCGGACTCGTCGGGACTTCGGCGATTCCGGATTATCGATTTTTCCGGATTATAGATCATCAGTTTAAATCTGGTAAGATGGCATGCAGAAATTATAAAATTAAAAATATGAAACCGTAATTTATGAAATAAAGAGCAATTATGATCTAAAGGGTATCAAAATTTACAAAAAAAAAAAAAAAAAAAAAAAAAAAAAAAACGTAATATTTATTTGTTTACTTTATTACAAATTTCTTTCAATGCGTGGATGCGTAAAGCATACCTTACGCATAGCCGAAATTAGAAAATTGCAACCAGAAAACTATTTGATTTGTATTCGTGATATTTATTATGACGAGGGATTTGATTTAAATCATATCAAAGACGGAGTACATCGAAATTAAATACTACATTTAGTAAGGAATTATAAGCCGAATAAAATAAAAACATCTGCCCTGAAGATAACGATAGTGTTGACAAATCAACTTCCAGTTCATTGCATGCCGCGACCCCCCCCCCCCCTGCACCAGAGCAGTGTGAAATTGATAAACAGATTTCGGAACTTAGATAAACAAAGAATATGCCTTTATCCATTTTTTTGCAATTCGTTTTTTGTTTTGATGGACATCGAAACATACTTTTTTCGTTTTCTAGATCCTTTGGGAGCTCCAGCATCGGAAATTCTATTTGACATAATCGAAAGTTCAAGCTTACTTTTAGAAATTGCTCTTACAGTCTGCAAAAAATAATAAGCCGGATCCAATTCGAAGATTAAGGAACAACGTAATCACCAACATTAACTGAAATAGATAATTAGATAATTTTAGCTTATACCGTCCTTTATACATTAAAGGCGCACGCAAAAACGTATTCTGCACTTGCGCAGACGCATATGCGCAGTCGTAGATGTCTTGGGCGTACGAGTAAAACGCCTATGCGCATGCGTCAATGTGGCACATGCGCAGAAAGGTTTAAGATTTTAGCTTTGAGGTCCGGATTATAGATCATTCCGGATTATGGGTGTCCGAATTAACGACTTTTGACTGTAGCAATGTTTTTGGTACAATCTTTGTTTTCATTCTTTTTGTTTAATATTTTAAGCATCATTATTTTTTGTTGAAGGTTCGTATTGCCCGAGAAGAGTTGGAGAAAATGACCAAAGAAGATTTTCAGAAGTGGTAAGCTAATTTTGAGGAGCTTTTCTTTAAATTTGTAATTGTAGAAGATCAGAAAGTATGAAGAATTGTAATTAAAGAAAATTACAATTCAGTTTCCTAAACAAGCTTTAACATCATCCATAATATGCTTTTGTTATATAGCAGAAAATACGTTTTAGCATGGTCTGTGTGCATACTGACATTAAACAGTAAAATTAAGTACCAACAAGTCTAAAGTTTAAAGTAGTCTGTATTATACTGTAAAATATGATTATTTTCTCACAGTATTTAAACTAAAAGGATAAAATATTGTTTTAAAGAATAATTGCTGTGTCAAATAAAACTGATCAAAAAAAGATTTTCTATTCAAATTACCATCTGTGTTCAGTAATTATGGAATCTGATTTATTAGGCATTTTCAAAATTTGCATGCGCCCTGCATTTTTACATTAAATTTTAACATAAAGTGCCATTGGATATGAATTTAGTGGGTAGGCTTATTCTGTATTTAGTTTAAATATTATATTTTAACTCTACATACTAGTAAACAAGGAACTATAACATGATGAATGTTCCATTCGAATCTTTTTTTTATTATTATTTATATATATATATATATATATATATATATAATTCCATTTTTTTATACTACATACACTTTCCAATGAATTAGAAACCCAAGATCTATATTTTATTGGACAACTTTTTGTGCAGATAACTGTTCTGCACTCGTTTGGGCATCGAGTCTACATGCTTCTGCAGTGCATTTACGTCCAGAGAATACCATGCATTGGCTATGCAACTTTTTAGATCTTGTAAAATAGATGGAAAAGGAGAGTGCTGTCGGATGCATCTTTCCACCATATCCCACACATTTTCTGTGGGACTAAGATCCAGGCTATGCGGTGGTCAGAGAAGGTGTTGGAGACTTCAGCGAACCAATTTTGAACACTTATGTCACGATGTATAGTTGTATTGTCGTCGCTGGAGTATCTGTCACCATCAGGGGAAAAATCCAACATTGCAGGGTGCACTTAGAGCCAGTATATCTAGATATCTCATGGCTGTTTATTTACTTCGAGGAATACCAGGGCACCACTTCCATTTCAGCAGAACATACTCCATATCATGATACACTCACCAGACCCTTACACAGTGCGAATAAGGCAAGGTCAAAATAAAGTGTAGCGTGATTCATCCCACCACATTACCTGTTTCTAATCCTCAGATGTCCAGTGTCTTCTTTTCCGACTCCACTGCAAACAAATTCTTTCATGTTAGGCAGAAATGAGTGGTCATCTCACAGGCACCCGACTATACATTCTTATCTTCTGCATTTCTCTGTCCATTCATTGTTCAAGCTGAAATCTGTTGGGAAGAGCCATGGTTGATGGTCTGTGTCAGTTGAAGCACAGTAGAGTCTCTGTTCTGCCGTACAGTTCGTTGGAGATGCACTGATCACTCTCATAGAAAACCGTGCTCAAACTGCAGTTACATCTTCTAGAAAAGGTCTGTGGGTCCTGATTCCAACTTCCGAAAATCTTGGATATGGCTGCTTTTGAGAATCCAGTGAGATTTGCTGTCTTCGAAATCGAGGCCCTTGCTAAACGGGCACCAACAATAAGCCCTTGTTTAAATGGTGAAAGATCTGTCATTTTCCCCATTTTACTTCATTCATCGTGAAAAGCACTTTTACACCTTACTTAAACTAGCAATTTAAGCACGGGTAACCCACTTCATAAATAAAACTTGCATTCTTCATACGTAGCACGCTTTCAAATGAAAATCTCAAAGGTGTCTAATTCATCGGCCTGTGTGTGTGTGTGATATTGTATGGATTACCCACAAGTAGTGTTCATAGTGAGAGCAGAAAATTGTCACTGATCATGTGAAAAACCCCAAGATTGGCAAAGAATTAAAGTTCCACTATATATACAGAGTATTGTCGAATTCAACAAATTCAGAGGCATGATAATAGGCATCAAGATGAAAAATTAACATAGAACATCACAAAGGTAGACGTAGAGCAGACAGTGAGCATAATGAAGAGAGAGGTTAAACAAATAGAAGGATTAGGAGCACTGCAATCGACAAGAAGAAACCTTCTTATATGCAAATTTCCCATGCATGTGGGGAAATAAAAGCTGTGAGCAAGTACTCATTAGTGGGCATTGCAGAGCTTTAATCTTCATTTGGAAACAAGATGTCAGATTACACGAATGAGGATTATTTGGATATGCGTCTGATTTATGCTGCCAAGCAGGTGGCGTTGGATGCCTAACACGGGGAATGTACCGAGAGCAATGCTCAAGAAAGCACCTTCTGCACCATACTACCTTCACAAAAACATGGATCGACAGTTGCCGGAGACGGGATCCTCCATACAATGAGAGGTTATGCAGGGTAAGTATGCAGTGTGCACACACCTGAAACGGAAAACTAAGTAATGCTACAGTTTATCATTTTCCTGTCGACTAGTCATGATCGGTTGCAGCGGAGCTTTTTATTCTGCAGAAATTGGTGTAGAATGTTCTGCGTGCTGAAACCATGTGCACCCCTTCCATGTGTAGAGATCATCTGTTAGGACCATAGCTTCTGCTCAAGCACCTCAGATGCAAAAATACACTGGAGGATCTTAGAGCATATCATACTAATGAGCTTTTAGTTATTTAGTAACTAAAAGCTAATATCTAAATCTAAATTCATTAGGCCATGTGCTGTAATTTTGAGGGAAAACATATAGACAACATTTAGAATACCTAGATCTTGATACAAAATATTTAGATTGTTATTAATGTGTGTAACAGAGGGGACTTTTTAGTTGCCAGATTGCTGTTTTACCCGAGGCTGCACTGTTTTTACTTCTTATATGTTCGGTTCTTTTAAAATTTTACCAAATAGCAGAGCAAAATGACAAACTGGCTGGGACGCAAAGACTACATCATCAGAGTAGGACATCTGGTAATCTGGTTTAGATAAGTGATATCACTAAAGAACTGTAGGGTAAATAGTACATTTTCTTTACCCTTTCTGATGACAGTTAATGTTCCTGTAGATTTGTCTGTTAGTTGAATTGATAGCAACTTAGTAAACTGCCATATAACAACTTAGTTTCTAAATCTGTATGTGATTGAGCTAAATAAAGGGATACAGTTTTGTTGAGAGAGTATTCTTTCATGTAGAAAGGGCAAAAGTTTCTTTGCTTACTTTTTTCCAATAGAACAGGATCTCAAAATGTGGTTGGCTTCAGTAATCAAAATTATTTAACTATTGTTTGTGATAAGTATGTAATTTTTCTGTGTCATGAAAATGTGTAGTGCTTTCCGTAAGTCATAGTTAACATTGTCTCATATAAAACGTCATATCATAAGGTTAGACATCTGCAACCTGACATCTAACAGATATAACCTTGAAATGTCAGCATCACATATTTTTTTGTGCAGAAATATCGGGCTTTAAGCCGAATGAGCATTATTTACGAGAACTTTTGATTTATTTTTTTAATTTGAAGAAGTCTGCATAAGGTGAGGCTGCTTTAAGTGAAAGAAGTTATTATAAGTGGTTTCAAAAGTTAAGAATGTTGAATTTGACGTTGAAGACAAAGAACGGAGTGGAAGATTAAAAATGTGCGAAGCTGCTGAATTGGAAGCATTATTGGATGAAGATTTGTGCCAAACATAAGTAGAACTTGCACTTACATTAGTAGTGACACGGCAAGCAATTTCACATCATTTAAAATCATATGGAATGACTCAAAAGAAGAAAATTGGGTTCCATATGAACATAGCTGAGAAATTTTGAATACCGATTTTTTACATGTGAAATACTGCTTGCCAGGCATAAATGAAAGGGTTTTTTGCATCATGTATTCACTGGTAATAAAAAATGAATCCTGTACGATAAGAAGAAATTATGGGGACCTCCAGTCCATGCTTCAATATTGACAGCCAAGCCTAATATTCATGGACAGAAATTGTCAGTTTGGTGTTATGTATTTTGAGTTGCTCAGACCGAATGAAACCATTACTGAGGCTTTCAGCTGAATGCAATTGATGAGACTGAGCTGAGACTCAAAGAAAATCTATGCCCACTACTACTCCAGACATGACAAAATTATTTTACATGATAGTGCTCATCCACATGTTAGGGTGGCAGTCAAAACTTACTCAGAAACATTCATATAAGAAGTTTTTCCCCTCCTGCTTTATTCACTAGACATTGCTGCTTCTGATTATTACTTGTTTTGATTGATGACACGTGGCCTGTCTGGGCAGCATTTCACATTATATGAAGAAACCAAACATTGGACTGATAATGTGGATAGATTCAAAAGATGAAACTGTCTTCCAACACAGTCTCTGTATGCTGCCAAACGCTGGGGAAAAGTAGTTGCTAGTGATGTACAGAACTTTGAATAAAACATAACGTGCTAATTTCTTTCAGAATAAATGCCCAATTTTTGATAAAAAATGGTGGAGAGTTATTTGTGTTCCAGATAATATTAAAGAAAATACAATAATTTTTTAAGATTCGTCAGTCCATGTAGTTAGGGGTATTAACTCATCAAAGTAATGTTTGTAGAGATGTTGGAATTTTTAGTTACCGTAATTTCCGGAAGAAAGGCCGCATCAGCGTAAACGCCGCACTCGAGAAAAATGGCGGGAAAAAAATTAAAATTACACAGAAACGCCGCATCATCAGCGTAAAACGCCGCAATAGATAAATTGCGCGTGACATCCGTCGTGGCCGTATAGATGCAAAAACTCAACCTAAGTCCTGATATATGACATAACCAGTTAAGAAAAATGCATGAAATGAAACCATAACTCAAAAATAAAAAGGTAAGAAATGTATAGCTTCTGTGCCGTTTAGAGACATTTTCAAAAATTTCCGCTCCCTCTTACTTAAAAACTTATCCAACAAGTACTTGTACCCTAACTGATGGGATCTGTATTTGGCAGAATGCCAAGAAAAATCCATTCATGCTGAAGGGAAATACGTCAGAGTTCGTTATTGCGAGGCAGGTGGAGTCGTGTCCGCCTTTGAAAAAAATTGCAGAAAAGGCAGGGGTGGAAGAGGATGGGTCCTGGAAGATTCATCGAATGGCAGAGGAGAGAGACTATTCAAACTGATGAGAATGTTGATTTGAAAGGGGGAAGAATGTTATTGTTCTGAGATCTCGTTTAGGGGTGAATAAGGCATGTAGGTCCGTTCAAGGGAAAGAACGTAAACAAAATAATGTTCGCAAAAAGCAACTGAGTGGTCTTTTGTGTGGGAACAGCACCAATCTATGCACAATGACAAGGCCATCCAAACTATGTACAATGGAGGAGGAATCATAGGAAATATTTTATCTTTAGTGCACCTAAACGCCGCATGGGTAGAAACGCCGCACCCGCTGAAAATTTAAGTTTTAAACACGTAAACGCAGCGGCGTTTCTTCCGGAAATTACGGTATTTAATATTCATTTTCATCTAATAATTTGAATAGCTATTTAGAGGTATATCATGCAGTAAGTACATCCTATTCTTTTCAGTGCTATTATAATAAGTAATAAAAAATCACATTAGAAATACATCCTTTCAAGCAGCAAGCAGTTTTGCTTAATGAAATAAAGTATGGCAAATAAAATCCAATGTGTACTGTTGTACTGAGGTATGTCAGTGTTGAAGAGAATTATGAAAAATTATATTTATATATATATATATATATATATTGTTTCTAAAAATGGAACCAGCTGCATTTAAGACTATTGAGTCACATAATGAAAGCTGTAGAATAACTTGATTATTTTATCGATAGAGTTTCTGATTTTCACTGAAGTTCTCTCTCTCACACATACAAAAAAAAGGAGGGCATTAAAATATGCATACAAGTTATATATTTGGGATATTTCTTTCAAATTTTTTGTGTGAGAAGGCATATCTGTGTTATTCGAATTGTAGTAGTGGCTTGAATATAAGATGGCCTCACATGTAAGACAACTCTAAATTTTTAAGGTATTCTGTAATGAAAAAATAGGTTGTGGCCAGCATAGCATACATGAATTTGAACCAAAGAAACTACAGTACAAAGTCCGAAATCCAGACTGTTCGGGACTTCGGCGATTCCGGATTTGGGTTTTTTCCTGATAGATTATCAGTTTAAATCTAGAAGATGGCATGTAGAAATTATAAAATTAAAAATATGAAATTGCGATTGATGAAATAATGAAGTATTTATGATCTAAAGGATATCAAAATTAAAAAAAAAAAAAAAAAAACTTAATATTTAATTGTTTACCTTATTAAACATTTCTTTCAATGCAAGTTGTTTTAATTTATACTTCATTTTTTGTGCTAATACTTTCTCTTTAATTCTGTAGACAGAGATAATCTTTTGTTTAGTTACATTGTTGAAGTTCTGTAACTGCTGTTTCGAGGATTCCGAATATCTTGACAATGGAAATTTTCTCGTTTTTAGTAACTTCTCTGTCACCTTCGTCTCTATCGGTAGCGATATTTTCTGGATCTAGAACCATACTACAGATTTCTTCATTCATTAACCCCTTCGCGCCGACTGTCACGTCTACGTGCCAGCAACGAACACACTCACCTTCCGGCCGACACGCAGGCATGCCAGAAATTTTCCCTTTCACTACCGACTGTCACGTATTTGTGCCAGTGTCCTGGAACGTTGTAAAAACTATAATATCTACCACAAGATGGCACTGTATGTCCATATGGTTTCAGATACATGTACATTAGACCTTCTACTCGAAATGAGAGAAGCATGACTCACATACACGTGTTTTTGATTATATAAACAAAGGGAAATAAATGTTTCTGAATAGCGTGATTTATGATGTCTCTTTAAATCGTTGCACTTTATTCGCACATGGTAGTTGTTTAGTTAAGTAGAGAAGTTTCATTTGCGCTAAAGCGTTGGGTATTTCAGTTTGCAGTTTAGTTTTTAGAAAATAATTAGATCTTATTAGACGTGAATTCTTTCTGTTTTTACTGTTGCAATCTCGACGTCGAAATGTTAACAGAGAAATAGCAGAATGATGCAAATTTTTCAGATATTGATTCTGAAAGATTAACTGAAAGACATTTTCCAAAACTTTGCTCAGAAGAGACTGATAAGAAAATGAGGTGGTGTTGGTGTATTTAATTATGGCAAAGTACACTAGGGCTATCTGCCTAAGGGGAGGGATGCCTTCGTGGAGGACTTTCTAAGGGAAACTGGCTCGTACACACGTTACACATGGGGAAAACCACGAAAACACCCATGCAGCCAGCCCGTTCGCGGGATTCGAACCTCGGACCGAACTACCAGTGTTCAGCTTTACCGCTCGGCCGCTGGTGGGCCTGATAAAAAAATGAGAGATGATTTCGTTTTCACATTCCCAGAAAAAAATCCTCAAACCGGCAATGAGTTTTACAGTGCAAGGAAGTATTAGACTATGTGTAGATCATGTTCATTTTTCATAGAAAAGCGAATTAAGTAATATATTTTAGTTTTCAGAGTATAATGTTAAAAGTCATAAAATGGTGAGGAATGAAAATAAATGTGTAAAATATGCATTTAAACAAGAAATAAGGTAATTCAAGTATATAGTAGTATAAAAATATCTATAAAGCATAAGCCGTTTAAATACTCTATAGAGCATTATTAAACAATGCGTTGATACTTCGGAAATTTAATGGATTTAGGCTTAGTAGCAAAAAAGCCCCCGGCCCTGGACAGACGCTCGCATAAGACACTGCCAGCCTCCGCGATAAGCGCGCGTTTGCGCTACCCGGCTCAAAGGGGTTAATTGATTGATGATTGAGAAGCATTGTCATCACAATGAAAAACTTCTTTTATATCATCTTCTCTTGTTAGCGCTTCTTCACATTTCTTTACAAAATCCGTTAGCTGAAAATTTCACCTTTGTTTTGCGATATTAGAAAACCTTTAAAACTAGTGGCTGTCATCATCAAATTTAGCTGTCCTTCACTATACGTATTTGGTTATGCATCATGAGCTTGGCGACTAACGACAAGTCGTTCCGTTAAATTTTATATTGCGCACTGAGACAATTAAGCCCAAATTGTATTAGTTATTTATTATATTTATGTCTATTTCTTGCACATGCTTAAGTTCTGAATAAAGAAATTCCCGCATATACTTAAGCTTTATTGAGGTCCGGTGCTATCCGATATCTTACCGCCTGATGCAGTCTGTGGGTCCTAAATCCTGGCACTGGTTCTGAGTTTATGCGAATAACAAATCAGTTATTCTTAATTCAAATAGTCCTAAATGTAATCTTTGGGTCTATGAGTATCATCAACAAAATCTGTTTTTCGCATATAGAAAGAAATTTTTGGTAAAATTTTCCTCCTCAACATTTTTTATCACATTTAACTGAAAACTGTAATCATCGGCAAGCGACATTGGCGATCATTGTCAACATAAAAGGTTATCGCACTCCTTTATTATTCAAATGCTAACATAACAAAAATTGTTTAGGCATCGCTACATGAGTCATTATATGAGTCATAATATACCAGCATGATAAAGTTTGTATATTCATCTTTGATTTTATTCTTCATTGGAAGAGACAAAAATATAATTAAAAAATGTCATAGGAAAGTTTCTGTGACGAAACCATTATGCTACACATAGACTTATTAACAACAGAATAGCATTGACTTATCTTTATAATCCTCTTTTTTCTTCCCTCCCCCTTTTATGTCTTAGAAGAAAGACTGATATTTGAGCATGAAAACATAGTAGATATGTTATATCAAAATAGTTCTTGCTATAGGGAGAATCTTTGGTATTATATTATTTTTGCCATTAATTACAAGTATTTAACAATGTAGTGTAAAAGTACTTTTTTTTGTGGTTAATAATTATCACTTTGTTGTCTGCATAAATATTAAAATATGTGACATAGATACATTTATTTTTAATATAAGAAATCAAGTATGTATCCCCAGATTATTCATTATTTCCCAAGTATTTAACAATGTGGTGTAAAAGTACTTTTTTTTGTACTTTTTTTAATAAATATTAAAATATGTGACATAGATACATTTATTTTTAATATAAGAAATCAAGTATGTATCCCCAGATTATTCATTATTTCCCAAGTATTTAACAATGTGGTGTAAGTCTTTTTTTTGGTTAATAATTATACTTTTGTCTGCAAAATATTAAAATGGTGACATAATACTTTTTAATATAAGACTCAGTATGTATCCCCAGATTATTCATTTAATTTTTATGCACTAAATGTGAATTTTTTGTCAGAAAAATAGTCATCTTTAAATGAGACCTTTTTTAGCATTTTAAAAAATGTTTTCAATTCATTATTACCCATTTTAAGTATTCTTATTCAGAAATTTTCTTTTTTAGCTGGAATTTGCAAGAACAGTATATAGATTATTTAGAAAATAAATTAAATAGTGGCAGCGAACATAGTAAGTGTTCTAAAATTAACTGTTTTTCAACTTTTCTATATATAAAAGTGCACATGTAGTATAGATGTTTACTAAGTTATCTAAATACTATTTTGTCCAAGTAATTTTATAGAAGTATTAAAAACATATGAATCGTTTTTATCGAGATGTGCATTGTGTATTAAAAAAATAAAATTATGTATTTAAAGAGCAAATTGCATAGAATTTAATACATAAATTTTTGAAGGGGATATAAAGTTTTTTAAATACATCAAAAGGATTTTTTTCACATATGCTGCAAACAAAGGTATAAAAGTATTGCCAATTGACAAGGCTTGATCTTTCATTCATGTGAAAAGAAATGTGGAATTGAATGCAGTCATGCACAAAATTGAAATTTTCTCTCTCTTTTTTTTAAAGTTTTATAAGAAACGAGATATAGTAACTTCTTGGTTATAGGCCTCTCTCGATTATATGATGATTTTTCCAAATCTTAGTGTAAGAAATAGGAAAATAATGCTTAAATTTTTGCTTACCAGCCACATTAGAGAATACTTTCAATTATAAAAAATTTAGTTGCTGAGCCTGGTTTGAATGAAAAGAATCTGTTCCCCTTATATCATTGTATACTTTATAATGTCAGGGTTTTTTTGGACAGTCCAATGAATCGATTTCCCAACACGCTTCTTTGCAGAAGTCTTCTAGCCATCAGCTGTCTAGTGATTACCTTACCATAATCAAGTCAAAAAAAGATAGTAGTATTTCACTTCTTCTTAATAATTATTACTTTACTTATAGGAAAACATCTGTTAAGTGTATTATTTAGAAAGTTTTGCTAAGCCCTCTCCAGTTTTAAGTATTTTTTACATTTTAGGAAGATGAGCTAAAGAAAACTTTTATCAGTTTCCTTTAACTTGCTGAGAAGGTAACAGTATTACCAGGGGGGGGGTGGAAAGAATGTTTAACTAAACCATTCAGTTACAGCATTCATCTTGAATAATAATAGTTTTCATCAGAAACTATATATTAACTGGGGTACATTCAAAGAAAAGATTTAAATTCTGAAATCAGCTTAGGTTCTATGATTCAAATATATGAGAGCTTTTAATTTACCTGCTGGTATTGAAGTTAACAGCAAAAAGTGTAACTGTTATCAAAGCGTGAAATTGAAAAATTTTTCTCCTTTTTGGGTATGTCTTGAAAAATTAAAACAGAATGATGAGCTAAAAGGTATCACTGCCGTAGTTAAAAAAGTTCAGCTGCTGAAAAATTTAATGCTGCTCTGAGGTTAATTGATTTATCCAGTCCAATTAATGGTTATAACATAAAAGACATCAGCTGTAAGGAAAATTGCCTATCTTATTGGCTTTCACCAAATAAAATACTGGATTTTAAAGGAAAAATTGATTATACTTCCATACTATGATGAAAGAGATAAAAAATAAACTGCTATCTGTAGTTAGTTATCAGCAAACAATTGCCATGCTCATCTGCAGATAGTAAAAAGATGTGGAAGACATCTAGACTTGCAGACTTTTTGAGTGAATTTGGAGAAGTGGTGCAGATAGATGGATCAGTGCCTTACATGTCCATGTGGATCCCATCAAATTGTACTAGCTGTATGCAGTGATTAGATCTTGATATAATATCGTAGTAAAGGCACATTTACAGAAAAAATTTATTATCTTATTGGCTCTCACCAAATAAAATACTGAATTTAAAAGGAAAAATTAAATAGGCTTCCATACTATGATGAAAGAGATGAAAAATAAATTGCTATCTGTAGTTATCAGCAAACAATTGCCATGCTCATCTGCAGATAGTAAAAAGATGTGGAAGACATCTAGACTTGCAGACTATTTTAGTAAATTTAGAGAAATGGTGGCAGATAGGTGGATCAGCCATGTGGATCCCATCAAATTGTACTAGCTGTATGCAGTGATTAGATCTTGATATAATATTGTAGTAAAGGCACATTTACAGAAAAAATTTATTGTGAAATACTTTGTGGTTCTTGATCCAGAAAACAATGTCCTGGATGCTGATTTTGTATTGAGATAAGTGATGTGCCAAAAGAACTATAACTCTTTCTGATTTAAAAAAAAAAAAAAAGGCACTAGAAGATAATGAGAGCAGATGCAGATTTTAACATTGAAAAAGAAAATTCATGTTAATCACTTTTCAAGATTTTGCTGATGTTGAAAGTCTGTTAACAGCTGATTTAAGGAAAGTTAGAGCTATCCATGATGAACTACGTAGCTGAAAAGATGAAATTGGCATTCAGACTGCTGCATGTTTTTCAAATGCTCTGAAAGCTTTAGAAAAAAGGCACTGTGCTCAAAATGCTGAAAAATTAGAAAAGTTGATTTTTTTTATCTTCTTTTATATATATGTATATATAAAGCCTGTGTGTCTTGTAATAAAGTAAATAAATATGCAGTTACTTTAATTTGCATTATTTTTCAATTGGAAGACAAAATAATAACCATTTTAATAAAAATTCTGATTAAACGTTTGATTAAGCACAATTCTCACTATACATAGGGCTTTAATAATTTCAGATATGTAAAATCTCACTTATTTTCCATTTTTCATCAGTCCTTTCTAAGTTATTTAAATACGAGTTACTATTTAATATCATTGATTGGCAGCTATAGGTATTCAACCGTTGTCATTTTTTTCCTTTCAATGCTGATGCTGTCGCCTATAGGTTTTGGTTTTACATGAAAATTATCAGTAAAGAAGAGGAGTACTTGTGTTTACTTCATTTTATAATTAAATAAGTATTAGAGAAGAAATACCATATTTATGATGTAGTAATATTCTTTTCTTTTGTCCAGCTGAACTTATGAGCTTGAGGGAATCTGAAGAGAAACTCAAACAACAACAGATAGAAGCTACCAGAAGAGAAAACATTTTAGTAATGAGGCTTACTACAAAAGAACAAGAAATGCAAGAATATGCTGTAAGTATTCTCAGTGTCTTTTAATTATTGTTATTTTTTTAATCTATTTTTAAGTATAATAAAATTCTAGTTAACTAGGTCTTGTTTAAAAAAAATTTGTTTATTGTGGAATGATGAAGAAAGCTAAAACCATCAGGGTAAAAAATGAAATTGTTTTGCATAAATATAAAAAGGTCAAGTAAAATTTGTGAGATAAGGCCAGTGATAATATGATGTTACAGAATTTGGGAGTTTTTATCCACAATAGTTTATAATTTACTGTGCTTAATCTGAAATATATTAAGTTGTTAGTTTAATTTGTGTAACCAGATGAAATTTAATTTGTGTAACCAGATGAACATGTTTTCTGAATTCAGTTGCTTGAAGATGCAGGAAAATTGTTAATATTTTAAAATTTAATTTTATAATATAGGTTATTAGTCTCCACCCCCTTTTTTAACTGCTCGTGGATTAACTATGGTTTGTGTTATTTGTGGATGCTGTGCCTGTTATTATTCTGTTAATTGGGAGCTGAGTTTATTTTTTCTTGACATTTTCTTTACTGATTTGGTGATTACTAATAGCAGTTGCTTGATAAGCATAAATATTGCAAAGTCAAAGATTGTACATTGGCTTTAAACTTTTTCTCATGTTTGTTTCAGTTATTCATGATGATGAAATTCAACAAATGAACAGCAGATTATGTAATTAATTTTTTAAAAGCCCACGAGTGGTTAGCATTGCGCTACTTCTGAATGATCATGATGTCATCTGGGGGGGGGATTGTGAAAATTTGAATTGATTTGGGCTGCTTCGCTAACAGTTGCTCTCAATTTTTTTTAACACGTCATTAGCATTACCATAAGAAAACATTTAAAAAATATTATGATTAAAATTTTAAAGTCCTATTAAAAAGTAACATTTAACTTTAACATTTTTTTTTTTTTTTTTTTTTTTTCTGGCTGTACCTGTATTTTACTTCCATTTTTTAACATATATTTCATATCCACCAGTATGTATTTGACCTAGGATGTTTTTCATGCTCACTCAGTCAATAGCATCTCCCCCATCTATTTCAGTTTTTTAAGTTGTTCAGTAGGATATATGAGCGTATCCTTTAATAATTCAATCCATTTCCTTAACCATTTGTTCTCGTATCCTAGCCTAGCTGAAAATACAAATTCCTCTGGCTTCCTGTATCTTCTTTCTCTTGCAGAATTCCTGAGATTACCTTGCTGGTAATGAATATCTTCTTTCATCCCTAGGATTTAACCTTGTATCAGAAAATCTTCTTTTGTACTCTCCTTTCAAGTAAAAAAAAAAAAAAAAAAAAACACCATCTTGAATACTTGAGCATCATTTTCTGCTAGTCACTATAATATAACTGCTGGCTTCTTACCAGTTTATAAACTTCCCCGAGTCTCTGATGTTTTTAACTTGTGTACCAGAATGAATGTAAGCTGCTACTTCATAAAATGATTTCCATCCTTCTTATGGTATAAAGGAAATGCCTGCGGCTTGCCCGCTCTCCCTTTTTTGAGGATCACTTTTTTTTTTAGTAAGAACTATAAATCTTTAATATTGTACGTTTAAAAGGTTTTCCTTTTCTAACATCATTCATTTCTTTTGGGATAATAGTCATCAAACTGCACTGGTTTAGAATTTGACATCTTCACTTGAGATGACAACGTAAATAAGTGTGTGTCATATAAATGATAGCCACGTCTGAAATTTCATTCTTCTTTCTGTTCTACAATAAATGGAATATCTTCTTGGGAGAATTCCCCAGCAATTTTGAATTCATCTCTCATTAATTCGTTTATCTCTTTTCCGGATTCTCTGAATTTTTTAAATTCTTCTTTCACAACTAACTATGCACTCTCCATAGAAGTGGTAGCGTCCTCTTGTTAGAAAATTATCCTCAGGCATATATGGCACATCACTGTCAACTTGGAAGATAATATCTGTTTGGCAATTTCTTGGTATTTTCTATGCAAGCCTTGTGATTATCATATTCCACATCCCAACTGTACATCCTGCTAACAATGTAATGGTACAAACCTTTGTTTTTATTACATTTGCTTCAAACATAATTTGTATAATCAACTTCATATTTTGCAGAATAGAATACTGGCTACAAAATTATGTTAATAATTATTTTCGTATTTTCATCCACTTATAATTAAATGCACAAATTTTCTTCAGTGCATTCAGACCCAATAAATAGATAATCTTTCGCGTAACCAATATATATATAATAGTATATTTCGCGTAACCAATATATATATAATAGTGTACACCGTATGGGGTAAATCTAAGAATGTTCGTCCAACCAATAAGTCAACTCGATCCAACACAATTATCCAATCCTCAGTCCAATCCAACACAATTAATACCGGAATATTTTTCAATATTACGTCAGTTTTTAAATTCACAACTTCTGCACAAGCCCTTTTATTGGATAGTTTTGATTTTCAAAACCAAATAACTCTTTTTTTGCAAGACAAAATATTTATTCTGAGACTTTTTGAAACTGATTCTCTAAGAAGACATGCCAACACTCCCGAGTCAATCAAAGATGTAATACTAGAATTGTTAATTTAAAGGATTCCACCGAGTACATATCAGCTGATAAGGAAGATTTATCAAGGTTGCGGACATTTAATGTAGCTTCTTTTTTTATTCTTAACATAATATTAAATGGTTTTTGATTGTCATTACATTTATGTGTGTAAGCACATATATTATTTTTGCCCTCTCGTCATGTCCCTGTTTTTGAATTTATTAGAATTGAATCTATGCGAGTTACGAGAATTCATTACTTGCGGAATATTCTTAGAATCATCCGAAGGCTATGATTTAAAGCTACATTTAAATTCATTACTTATTTTTATTCCTGATCAAACATTTCTGCATTAGTGTTTACATATTAACCATGGCCATGAATTAATAAAATGTTCTCATGTAGAATTTGAAACATCCTCTTATTTTAACTGATATGCTATAATTAATTCTTTTAAAAAATCAGAATAATTTATTTTTAATCCTGCTAACCATTCATTAGAGCAGTTATGAATTGTGAAAACGTGAATTACTGTTATTGATGATGTTTGTGATCGTAACCGGCATGTGGTGGGACCCGTTCCACAATTTCCATCATGAGCTCAGTTAGATCGCTTTTACATTCTTTGTCAAGAAAACAAATTGTGTATATTGTATGATACTTTAGGTATGTTTAATAGTTTTCGTTAGTACATTTAATAGCTTTTATTTATATGTTTAAAAGCTTTCGTTGATATATTAAATCTTTCATAAATGTGCTAAATAGCTTTCATTAATAACTTTAAAATGGGAGTGGAAAATGGAACATTTACTTTTTTTGTGTTTCCATTTGGCCTTCAATGGCACTAAAGTATGGTAGGTTGACATTGACATCCCAGTTCTGAAATTTGTTAGTTTAAACTTTTTCTGACATGTCCGCTATGTGTGTCCCTTTAGTTATTCATGAGGGCAAAATTCAACAAACGAACAAGGAATGTTTCATTTAATTAATTTTTAAAAAGGGTACTTGTGTCTAGAATCATCTCTTTCTTACTCATGGTTACATTTTTCTCTGTCATGTTTATATTTTCATCTTTTGTGTTTACGTTATTACATCTACTTCTGAATGACCATGACATCATCTGGCATTAAACTGTGGAAATTGCTAACATATATTTAAACCTAAAGTAGCTTATTTTCTAAAGTTCTACGTGAAACTTATTTTTCATGTGTTGTTAACTAACTATGTCTTCTTTTGGGAGGAAAGGTAAGAGATGTAGGAAAATGACTCGTCAACACTTGAAGTATGTTTATTGATACGTTTTCCTTTTATATGAAGTGGGAATATAAATTGTAATTTATATATTTAAAAAATGTCCACTTTTTATAAAAGGTACAAATGGTTTCATTCTGTTATTGCACAATTTTAATTAATTTTGTAAGAGCATGAATGATAAAAAATGAAAGCCATGTATCTTTTGGTGTCTTTCAATCTAGTATCTTTACAATCAAATAATGCCATTAAGATAACCTTAAAGTTTTGGAATTTAAAATTGGGTGTAGGAAAGAAATTGCCAGTCATAGATATGATTGTGATAGCAATCAGTATCTAAAATTTCTGTGGATAGAAAATCTTGTTTTGGCAATAAATTTTATAGGAGAAAAGTAAATCATATATATAATCTGCACTATTAAAATTCTAGATATTTTTTGTAAGTAATTTTTTGGGGGAGGAGAAGCTAATACAGTACAAAGTCCGTAATCCGGACTAATCAGGACTTCGACGATTCCGGATTAGGTTTTTTTTTTTTTTTTTTTTCCCCTTCTTCTCCTTTGGATTATCATAATTATTTAATATCGTAATGGCATGCAAAAATTAGACAATTAAAATATGAAACCATAATTTATGAAATTAAAGAGCATTATGATTAAAGGGTATCAAAATTACATAACACGCTTAATATTTTGTTTACTTATTAAACTTCTGTCAATGTAGTTAAGTTGCTCATTTTTTGTGCTAATACTTCTCTTAATTTTATAACGACTAATTTCTTGTTCAGTACAAAGTTCACTGTTCCAACCCGTAGTGCTGTGCCGAAATACGACTACTGGCAATCGAAATTTTTTGTTTTCAGTAACCTCTGTCCTTTCTTCACTGCCGGAGAGTCATCGAAACATTCTTCGCGTTTGTAGATCCTTGCAGCTCCAGAATGTGCACTTTTTGACATAATAAAGTTCAATCTTTATTTTTTAAAATTGCTCTAACAGTCTGCAAAAAATAATAATCAGGATCCAATTAGAAGATTAAGAAACAGTGCAATCTGAAACATTAACTGAAATGCCTTAGAATCAGTGAAGATAATCTTAGCCTAGCTTATACCATCTGTTATACATTAAACATGCATGCGTAAAGCATAAAAAAAAAAAAAAAAGTTTTGGGCTGTGAGGTCCGGATTATAGATCATTCCGGATAATGAATGTCTGCATTACGGACTTTGTACTGTATTGTAAAATGTTATGGAGTGTGCTTGTTATTCATTAAACCTGTAAAGGGATTACAATTTTAATTTTCTCGCTTAGATCAAGTTAGTTTTCGAACTGATATCATCAGTATTTATTGCTGTTATCATATATAAACATTGCGGAAAAACGGCAGCACTTAAAGCTACCAAATTGTGAATACACCCGAACATGAACACCTAGAAGCCCAGAGTTTGAATTTGTTTTTTTGTTTATTTTATATTTTGTGAAGTTTTTATGAATTTTTTAGTAACAAATTCACTGATTGAAAAGCAGTGTGTTTCCATTCAGCAAAGTGTAAGATATTTTGTTTGAAATTTTATCAGAATGTTCATTCAAAAGAAATGAATGGCCATTGTCCGGAATAAAATATTTTTATTTTCCAAGCACCAACTAGTAACATTAAGTGTGTTGTCATTTGGGAAAGTATAAATAATTTTTTCACGTGTAATTTATGTGCTATTAATTAACAAGCCAAGTGATTTCAAAGCAATAAATGCTGTTCTTCATCTCTCTTATTTTGAATTACTAACTGGACCAGTGAAATAGCATTAGCTGAACTTGTTAAAATCATATATATTTACTTTTTTTTATAACTACTACTTTAGGTGGCTAGCCCTGCAGGTTGCTAATTAAATGATAAGTTTTAAATATCATGTAATTTAGTTTCAATAGAACCATTCTGTAACTTAACAACATTAGTAACAAAGTTACATACTAACAACAAACATAATTGGTGAAAAAACTATTTATAAAATATATATAAACTACTATCATTATTGATTAAAAATGTTATTCTTTTCTTTAGGAATTGTGTTGAAATATTTCATATTCATATGTTTGCCCCTAGATATTGAAAATTTTTAAAGGTTTAAATGCATTTGTATAGCCATTATAGTGCTTTTTAATTGAAGAAATTCGACCATTCTCAATTATTGAATATTTTTAGGGTCAAATTCAAGAGCTGAAACAGGCACAGGTGCCTTCAATTGCACAGTTACGATCTGCATTATTGGATCCAGCTGTTAATCTCCTGTTTGAAAGAATGAGAAAGGAAATGGATGCTCTTAAGGCCCGTCTTGAAGAGACACAAAATGAACTCAACGCATGGAAATTCACTCCTGACAGGTGCGACATGGACAAGTCTCTCCTGGAATATCATAGTCTTCACGTACTCTTATTACCCGCTCGATAGACCTTATTGAAACCCCGTGTACTTTGCCCGTTCGTAATAACATTCAGTGCCCTCAACGAGCTTGGGGATGTCAGGCTGCTGGCATCTGCGACTCTTCAAGCTTGTCAACTATCATCATTATTTTTTTGTTTTAATCGGCACAGGAATAACATGCTGTTTGTAGCAACAACATATTTTTTGTTGTGTTTTGTCCAAGAAGCAAAATTTTCAGTTCCCTCAAAAAGTATGCTTTTAAGAATGGTAGGATGCGAATGTTTTTGTTCAATTTCAAATTTACTCCAAACATTCTTATCGTGGAACAGCTTTTTGAAAAAATATACATTTATTGCTATGGGTGTGGAAAACTTCAGTAAAATACATTTGTTACAATTAGCTGAGTTAAAATTCATAGATATTTTTGTGTCTGAGGTTCAGTGCAAAATGTAATACGCAGTTTTTCAGTTGTGTCTATAATGTGTTTGTTACAAAATTTTATCTCTTTTGAGAATATATGAAATATTTTTAGAATGGTGGAAAAATCAGTTCATGGAATAAGTAAAGAAATCACTTTCAAAATTAGTAGCAGAATTTGATTCTTTAACTTCATGAAAATGAAGGTATGTTTGGGGTTTCTGTTACTGCTTCTTGAAACTGCTGACTGCCTTCTCATGATACGAAAACACTTTTAGCATTTGCTAATGCATGGCTCACAAAGACAAACTGCATCAGAAGAATCTAAATTTTCAAGAAACTCTCGGGAGTCTTTTAGACTTCTAAAGTAAGACGATAAAAACTATTTGTAGTGAATAATTTAAGTAATAAAAACTTTTGTTATGTACTTGGCAGGTAAGTATGAGATAAGATTTTGCAGTTCATCATTTTAATTTCTTCATTGCAAAGTTCAGATCTGTTTAAAATGAAGTCTTGCAATGTAGTTTCCATGGAAAAAAATTTTTTTTGCTAACACATTTCTTATTGGAATGTTACAACATTTACTGCACTCTATTCTTACTGTACTGTAGCATCGCCTGCTGTCTTCTGCTTTTTCTCTTCCGTAATGTGTATTGTTAAGTTTTATTGATAAACTGCCTGCTTTTGTGGGGTATGTTATTTTAATGCATTTTGTAAAGTTAATATTTTTTTTGTGTGTGTATGTGCTTCTTTTCTTATAGAATGCGCTTTAAACAGATAATTCTACACAAAATCTGAAGCTCTTATTCTTAGTAATTAGGATTAAAATATTTTGGTTCAGTTTCATATTGTTATTTGTTGGGTAGTATTTAGTATTTCAAACTAACTGAGAGTTTCTGATTATTTGCAAGCTAAATTCCCCAAAAATTTGCATTTATAGTTATGAATTCCTAAAGATATGCAGTTTTAGTTTTTATAAATGACTTTTTCAAGAAAAGTCTTATATTTAATTTCTTAAGCTTTGTCTTAAAAATTTGCTCATGTGTTAATGTCAGTGATGTCGAATTTTTATGTAATATTTCTAAATTCTCTGAAGATACATAATTGATAATAAACCATGAATATTCGCAAAGCCAGGCCACAGTGGGGTGTGTATTTTATTTGGCAGTATTTATAAGTTGCACTTTCAGATACATTTAAAAACCTAGCTTTATTATAAAATTTTAGCAAATAGAGTTTAAAAATCAAGGCCCTAGTAATTAAATTAGCAAATGCTTATAAAAGACAAAATCATTTAGCCTTAATAATTAAAAGATTCATTTTTGGAAGAATGTCTTATCTCTGCTAATGTATCTGAACATTAAAAAATTGTGGCTTTGCCTTTCAGCATGATTTGTCAAAGTCCTTACTTATGTTCTGTATGCATTTCTGTAATGCAATATGAATTTAAAATTATCTTTTTGCCTGTGTATGATGCACAGTTTTCCCTATAATTCTTTTTTTACTTACTTTCAACTTTATTATTTTCTGATATTCCTGTTGATAGACTTAAAATTTATATTTCAGTAGGTTAGGGATACTTTTAGCAGAGATTGGACAGAATTTAAGGAACCTTTATGGTAAATTTAAGTAATCAAATACTTAAAATTTAAGTAATCAAATACTTAAATTTACCACATAGGTCTATTTAAGTATTTGATTACAATTGTTATATTTATGTATATATTTGTATTGAAAATAAAATTTTAATTACTTCATATTCTGAGTGTTAAGTATAGTGCTTTTATTGAAAAAAAAAATAAATGTAGTAATTAGTACATTCCTTCCAAAATATCATCTGGTACACATTAAAAAACTATAATGTTATGAAAGTTTTATTTCTTGCAGTTAATTGCTCTAATTCTTAATTGTAATATATGGGTATTTTATTTTTAGCTGTGCTTAAGGAACTTTAAATTCCTTACAGTATAGTTAAAAATAATAATAAAAAAATGATAGTATAAACAGTATTAAACAGTATCAGAAAATGATAAACAGTATTAAACATTTATTAGAAAACTTGTATCTTGGACAACTTGTAAATAGATACAGCTTTTTTATCTCTGTGTAGTTTATGTATTTTGATAAATATCAAAGTGGAATATTTGCACTCATTCATTTGTTTACTAAAATCACTCTGCTCTTTTACAAAATATTTTTAATGTGTTTGCATTTTGATTATATTAATTAATTTGCACCATACCATATACAACTTTAATCAATTTTATCTAAATATAAGTGAGTTTTTTTTCCCTTCCCAATTAAATTTAAACTTTAAATCAGATAAGATTTTATGTTTGTGGTTGTACTGTCTGGTGTTCAGGTTCTTTATTATTATTAAAGGATTATAAACAGGTATTCCCCCCTTCAATGTCACCTATAAATAAGAGAAATTGAATTAAAAACAATTAATTCAATTAATCTATATAATATTTACATCCACACACAGGTTGAAGTATTACTTTAATTAAAATCCTACCCTGTTAAAAAGTTGCCATAGATTTCTTTAGTTGCCAATAATAATATAAAATAATTAGTATGATAGATGCTTTATATTTGGGAAGTATTCTTATTGAAATTCGCTTTATGATTATTAAATTTTATTTGTAGATAATAAATATCTTTGAACAGTGAAGTTATTTGCTTTGTGATCATTTGTTCACTTGAAGAATTCTGTGATTCTCATCCAAACAAATTTGGAAATTATCATTTGCAGTAAACAAGCCTGTGAATCTAAGACATAATTACATCATTTTACATGTATTATAAAGAATATTTACTTGTAGCATTTTACATGTATTATAAAGAGTCACTAGCTGGTATTTTCCCATAAGCATCAGTCCAGCTTCCAAACATTAAGCTTTTAATGCGAAGCTGTTTGCATGTTATTCTTTTTAAATATTCGCCATTCTGTCAATGAACTTCATCATTTATCATTTCTAAATGCACCAGTTAAAAAAGAATATGCTCCTATATCAATGTTTGAATGAAAGTGAGAGCCAACTGTTATTAACAATATTTTAATTTAAAATATTTTACATGAATAATTCGAAAGATACACATTATAAAAAGGAATGCATTAAATTTTTTGAGTTAAAATGTGTGCAACTAGTCCATTTCAGAAATATACATTATGTCACTTTGAAGATGTGTGTTAAGATCCGATTGCATCATGAAATGTGAATTTTTTTTTTATGTATGATATTATTTTGTATATATTTGTTTTGACTCATAAAAATTTTAAATATTTACTGAAATTATTTCAAACCTTGTTGAATGCATTTATTATGGGTTATGCATTTGGTAACTTATGATACTGACATCAGTTTAAGATTTACTTCAGTATCATTTTACATAGTGATATGTAAGAGGCTATTATTAAATATACATGTTCTAAATTTTCAGATAGTTGTCATTATTCATAAAAAGTATTTACATTTTGTATGTTATTTTGTTCTACAGTAAAGTTCATATATTTATAAGAATTATTTATTATAAGTCTTATTACTATGTTTACATATGCATAGGAGTTATTATTATTTAATACAGTGATCTCCAAAAATTTTTGATAACATACTTCTAAGACAAATAATTTGTATCCCATATAATATTGTATAATGTATATAGTTATTATATAATTACAAAACAATTTAAAAAACAAAATATAAATATGCCTAGTATTTTCGTGCTTTAAACTGCAGAAAATTATCATTAAAGTCTTATTATATATTTTAATTGGTTATAGTCAACACCAGCTTTAAAGCTGGCACTTTCATAGCATTGAGCTCTCCAGATGCTAGTGCAACCAGACACAGTGAACAACGAGAGAATTTTGCCCTCATGTTACACACGATCAAGCACTTGCCAAATGATCATGAACTTACTTCTTTGTTATATCCCAAGTATCAGCTTGGAGCCCACTGATTTTATGAATGAGTTAATCATTTGTGCATGAATGACAAGCATAAGCATTGACATTAAGTTATGCAAGATCAAATTTCTGTGTAAACATTTAACAGCATATAAATAATTTGTATATTTCCTACCTTTTATTGACAAGTGACAGTTATAAAAGCAAAAACAAGAAGATTATTTGGCATTTTATGTATTCATAATACCACTTTAACAAAATACATACATTGTTAAAGTGATATTTGATTTAAAGAAATTAAATTTTAGCAAAGTCTACACTTTGTTAAAGGTATAAAGGAAATATTTAATTTTTTAGATGAATTGTATTATAAATTATGTTAACATATCTTATGTATTAAGAGTATTGGTAGTATAGATATTTATATTGTTACTACAGGAAATTTTCTAAATCGTTTAACTATAGATACTTATTATAGGAAGCTGGTCTATAACATACTTCAGTGGCAAATTCAGTTTTGAATGCGACTATAGTGAGGAGTGTTTTTATAATTTTTTATTCTAGTTACACTTAATCCTCCTTCTATATGCAATTCGGTTGATATCTGATATATGTAAGATCTATAAAGATGCTGCAAATTTTTGAATTTAGCTTGCAAGTAAAATTTATAATCAAGTCTATTGTTATATGTAATTCTCTAGGTAACTGAGATTTTTAATTTGTAAATGTATGTGCTAATGGTAATGTATGTGTTTGTTTGTGTATGTGTATTTATATTATGCACATACCATATATTCTGGCATATAATGTACACTTTTAATACAACATATAACATGAAAAGTTCATCTTAGTCTTCTTCCATTACATCTTCAGGTATATCATTGAATTCTGTGTCATCTTTACCCTCATTGTTAGTCTTTATTCATAAATAAATCATTATCTTCCATTCCACTTCACTTGCTAGATAAAGTACATTTTTTAATTGACTTTTGAACTATGATGGGTTTAATTTTATTTTTTGCTTTGTATTACACGCGGACACATTATTTCTAGACTGGCATAATGCATATGTCTTCCTTTTGTAAATATTTTTTCATGTTCTAACATCCATGTATTCTACTGTTTTTGAATTTTCTTTGAATGGTTAATTGATAAACACATCTAAAGTCTGCACTAATGGAATTAATCCACCTAAATAACTGCCATGACTGTATGTTTGTCTCTTTACAACAATTTCTTTGTATTACCATTAGGTAGGATCTCAACATGTATGAAAAACTAAGACTTTCTGAATTCTTTTAAGTCAACAGGATGCTTTCGAAAACATTTCTAATTATTTTCACACCGTTTTTGACCATTCGTACTTTCTCGTGAACATGAATGAAAACATGATGTGGGAAATTATATTTTACCATTCTCTTTCTTTTAAAAATAACCATGGGTTTTAATTTTGTAGTATCCTCTACACAGGAGAGCACAGTGATGAGGTGAGATTTTTCTGCGAGTTTTTATTTTTATGTGAACCGTTTTTGTTCTTTTTCACATCGTTTTATTTCCTGCCATATCAAACATTACTGGAAATATTTCCAGTATGCGACAATTTTTTTTTTTTTTTTTACTTTCGTAGGCCAGTAATATTCTGGAAACAGCAATTTGTTATATAAATCTTTTGCAAGCTTTTGTGAAACTTCTGTTTCTTCTCGTAGAACTAATTTATTCTGTGCCATTAATTGACTACACCAATTCAAAGTTTCTTTACAGTTTTCACTTGCATTTGCAATCTTTTTTGCCCACTTTTAGGCTAATAAGTATATACTGTTTCTTGTCAAAATTAATCCATTCTGCCTATTGTCTAGAACCCAATTTGATACACTTTTTTCTGGGATAGACCATTTCATTGCTGCTTTACGCGAAGCACAGTTATTCTTTACATAATAATTATTGTGATTTCATTTTTCTTCCACTTAAGTATGAAGCTTTCACAAACATCAGACATACATTTTCTTTCACAAATTGATTGACTTTGCATTTAAAATCACCGCTGTGTTGTTTGTTGTTTTCAGTAGAAGCCATATTTACTACTAAAAGAAATATAAGCTTAACAGCATTTAAACTAAAGCAAAATGCAGTTTACTAAAGCCTTCGATATTCACTTCAAAATCATGGCTTTCAATTACTACAGAAAGATAAAGCATCTGACTTCCGATTCTGCAAATTCATTCGCATCAGAAGTGCATTCATACCCCAGTTATTTCCCCTTCTCTTGAAACCTTAAATTGACATTCTCATGCACATGTACATTGAATGCAATCCATGCTGTCTGCAGAATTATATACTTCTTCAAGCATTTTCTCTACTCGCATATTGTCCCTCATATCGCTTGTCATTTCAGTAAGCCATTGTTGGAAAGCCTGGGAAAAGTCTTCAAATGAATTATTTTGTATATATTTGTTTTGCCTCATAAAAATTTTAAATATTTACTGAAATTATTTCAAACCTTGTTGAATACATTTGTTATGGGTTATGCATTTGGTAACTTATGATACTCTCATCAGTTTAAGATTTACTTCAGTATCATTTTATATAGTGATATGTAAGAGGCTATGATTAAATATGTATGTTCTAAATGTTCAGATAACATATGCATTATTTTTATGACAAAATCTTTCTCGGTCTGCACTATCAATATGTTGCTTTTCCTTGCTTTTCATATTTTATTTGTTTAATTAAAGGTATTAAAATGAGTTTATCAAAGTAATAGCTAATTAAAAAAGTGAAGCAGTATGCATTTTTTTAATAATTCTGTTTTTAAATGGATTGATTGGGTATGTGGTTTTGTTTACAATGAACGTACTTAAATATTTAAAAAAAATGTAGGTTGAAATTATAGGTGCAAGTTTTACACTGGTGCATGTTATATATCGGAATATATGATATATATATATATACACACACAAACACAAATGTATGCATGCATACTCAAGAGTCGATTAAGTTTGTTTATTTTCTGTTTATTATTAGGGATATATGTTTAATGAAATGTACTTCCTCATTTATCTGAAATCATTGCACTTATACAGTAGTGTCAATATTCTGAAACTGCTTTGCTGCAGGTATTATGATTTATATTGTAGAGTAAATAGGGAATAATGAACTGTTTTTGAAGTTGACAGGAATTTTTTACTTTATTTTGTGAGACTTGCAGCTGTTAAATTATAGCTTGAAATTCTCGCATATTTGCTAGTACTTATCAACAGTTTGATGAGCATATTCTTATTGATATCTGGGAACAAAGAATGTTTAGACTTACCTGTCTCTCTGTTGTAATGCATAATTTTTGTGGAATAGATCATAATATGAAATATCAATGAATTATAGGTTTGGAAAGGTAATTTTAAGCTCTTTATGATACTCATTGTGTTCTTGTTATACAGAGTGAAAAGTGAATTTTGCACTGGACAGAGGAATATAGTAGTAGTTTTAGTTGTTGTCGTTTAGATATTAGAATCTCATGAAGCTACTTATATGTATATTTTAATATTTTTGATGAGTTCAAGTTACACACACTGTCTTACAAGCAGTTTCTGTTGTTTACAAAAGAAGCAGTCTTGAAAATAGCATTTTGGGGTCATGGGTCTATGCTGACCAAAAAAATAAGCAACATAATTGAGGTTAAAGCAAGCATATACTTTCATAGTTTATTACTTCCATTCCTTTCAGGAGTACTGAGTCCATCTGTTATCATTAAATTAAAAGATAACTGTCTCCAATTAACTATCCTTTAATTTGGTCAGGTAAGAGAAGAGGACCCCATTATCTGAGTTCAACTACTTTGTAGCCATGGGTGTTTGCACTGAAACAATATTAAGGTCTGTTTTATTGTGATTTGAGATGGTTATGTCTGTCTCAGCTGAGTAATTTTTTATTTGGTCAAGGCAGTGGCTCTTTAGTGTGTAATAATGAATTCAGTGTGCTTTTGTGAGCTATTTTTTCAGTCTCTTTTATACTTATGATTCAGAACTCTGTATATGCATGCTGCTGATAATAATTGAACTATTGAATTACATTAAACGTCTATATTGTATATGTACATAACTCATCTTGAGGAGGGTAGTTTAATGAGTGAATGCATTACTGTATTAGAAAAATCAAACATAAAAAGTTTCTTTATTATGTCAGATTTTATTGATAATTCTTCAAACGGCAAACTTTATTTCAATAAATAAAGCACGTTAGTTCAAGCTGAAATTGCAAACTCTGTACACTTGGTTTGCATTTACTTCCAGTATTCTTCAGTGACTTCAAGCTTTTCATACTTTCTGTTAAAATCACTGGACTGAATGAATTTTCTCTTTTGGAAGCATAAATGTCAAGTATCATAATAAAAATTTAGACAGTTCTTTGATTTAAATAGCAAAGTTATATCTATACTTAGTGACCAATTTTGATTAAATCAATTCAGAACCAAAAGTACTGAGGATTTAGAACTATGCCAGACTTTTAATTATTATTTGTCACTAATTTCACTTGAAGTGTTATTCTGATATTTTATTTCTGACATATTTGTTATTCAGTGAATTAATATGCAACCTATGCAAGGAATTTTAATTTGGTTTGAAATTTTAATGAATTGTATTCATTTATAATTTATTAAAAAGTGTAGCTACTTATTATTAAGAGTTTTAAAGCAGCCTTAAAATAAGGGGGAAATATTCTTGCATTTGTTTGAATATTTTAGAGCATCGATAGTATAATATACAGATTATGAAAAGAACTGACTTGAAATTATGCAGAACAACAGAAGTTCGCACCGTGTTTGTATGTTACATGAAATTTCAAAAAAGATTTTGGTTATTTTTTCCTGAAAAGCTTTTGTGCAGTGGTTTATTATCTAAAAATAATGTGATTATGCTGCATATTTTATTTATTTTCTAAAAGTGCCTTATGTGAAATGAACACTATAGGTGGAAGATTTAGGATATGCATGAGAGTCCTCTTTTGTATATATTTCTAATGAGAACTGTTATGGAAAATATTTGTAAGCTCATAAAGAATCAGACAAGACATTACTGGAAGATTAAGAGGGCGGAAAAAGAAATATTTTTCAATTTTAAAGTGTTAAACTTCAGATATTCATTTTTCCCAGTAGCATTAAGCAGTTTTTGAGTAAGGGTGAGTGAATTGTATAAACTAGTTTTTTTATTGTCTGAATTCCAGTATTCTTTTAACTTGTCATATGGTGATAAGAAGCTATGCATATGGGTATGAGGTAAGTATGTAATTGATTTTGCATACTGAAGTGTCAAGGGTTTCTCGAATGAAATTATGTATTGGAAATTTGAGTTTAGTATGCTTTTATTGTCATCTTTTTCATTGACATTATTTTTCTAGCACTTTTCAAACAATATTTGCATTTATTATGAAGTGGATTATACAATAATATTATATTTAGAGGGGTGTCAACATTTAAATTTTCTAAGAAGTTTGAAAAGTGAAGAAAGGAGAAGTCTTTTTTTTTTTTTTTTTCCTCTATCTAAATAGAATTTTGTGATCCCATTTCGATAGCAAATTTTGCTTAATTGAGTGGACAATATAAATTTTTGGAGTATATTTTTATCATTAAGAAGTTTGTTCGAAAAAATTAAGACGACTATATTTTAGGATGAAGAGGAACTGAATAATTGCAAAGCTAAATTCTTTAAAGTATTTTGTGCCAATAAATATTTTGCCCCTTTGATTTTCTCCGCTTCAAATGTGTACAATGGGTTTATGTAAGGTCTATCTCTTGTTCATTAATTTATACTTAAAATGAACTAAATATGTAAATTATGCAGTAAAGTATAAAATAACTGTTATTAGAGGGACTATTAATAGCTTAGATCTCCATACAGCCATTTATAATTCACGCTTTTAAACATTAAGTAAGTTTGGTAAAATTCCGTACACACAATTTAAACTTATTTTGTTGGTATTTCATTATTTTTTTATTTTATTATGTGTTCTAGATTTTATTTGAAAAATGTTGATTTAATCATTTTAATTAAAAAGAGCATTAATTTTCTTGATTATTATGATCCCCAGAAAACAACTGGTGTTATGAATTATTAGTAGCTTAAAATTAGATTTTTATTTCTTTCTTTTTGATCAGATTCATTTTTCTTTTTATATAAATTTGTCTAATGCATAATGTGCTAACTACCGATGAAAATGACACAAAAAATGTTTTAGAGATATCTATTATTCAATTTATTCTTCAAGAATCAATTCAGAAAACTATAATGAATCCAAATTTTACCAATTCAGAAATAAATTTAAAAAATTTTCTTGTTTCATTTAAATCATAAGTAATTGAAAACACATTATTCTATGTGCTTTAAATAAGTGTATTAAACTTTGAAATGAGGTTATGTTTAGGCACTAAACTAACAAAAATGAAGAGCAGTATTTTCACCTCTAACTTGTTTTCTTGTATTCCTTTCATGTTGAAATTTTGTACCTGTTCCTTTGGCCTTCAGCATTTTAAAGTCTTATAGTTGAGTTATCTGAGTTTATTTTTTTGCTTCAAAGCAAAAATTCCACAAGCATGTCAACCTTAAAGCACCATGTAACAATCATCCGAGTTGAAAATCACCCTTTCCCCCCTTTTTTTTTCAATTTGTGGGAAATCCATAATGCTTCATTTTATGAATTGCTGATATCTCATTGGTAGAGATATGTGCAGTTAGTTGCTGCTTGTAATGTGACAATGTTCCTGAAGATGCTAAGTGAGGAAATTGGGAAGAAGTGGCGACTTTTTTTCTTTCGTGTTTTTCAGAGAGCATTTTAGAATTCGAGAAGAAAATTTTTTATGAGGGTTAATATTTATGTAAAGTGATTAAATTTATAAGGTATCTATTCACCAGATTATCCTTTCACGAAAGTGAATTTATTACTGTGTTTTTTCTCGTGAACCATCAATTATGACCATCATTAAATTTTTCATACGTCCCCATACACCATTGAAGCAGATATAGGATATGATTCAGAAATTTTGAAACTATAAGAAATGTATAGTGGCAATATATTTTTGCATTCCACATAACAGAGGACAAATTATGTTGCATTTGGTAGTATTTATAATTCCCTGAAACATTTTAAGTTCTTACAGAACAACATGAAAATATTTTTGAAACTTGAAAAAGTGATATCTCTCAGTTTCTGAATACTGAGTTTCAAAAGTCATATTTTTGAAGTTTATAGAACAGAGTATTTTGTGGATTGACCTGCTGATAGAATGTAATTTCTGAATATATATATTAATAAGTAAATACAAATATGTATTTAGTTACTGTAATTTTGAAATTTTTTATTGGAGAAGGTTGTGGAATCCAATATTTATAAGAAAGTTTTCTTATTTGCAAATTACGTGACAAAATTGGAGCATTAAAAGAAATATGCTATTTGTATTTTGTCTTTGATTTTGAAATTGGCTTTGCAAAGGTAGATTTAATAGATTTTTTTAAATATTTAGGTATTAAAAACAATCTTTCAAACCAGATGTGTATAATTATATATATGTAATGATCTTTTAATTAAATTCTATTAAAATAATTGATAATAAATTCTATTAATATTGCTTTAATGTGTTGGCGATTTCTACCTAATGCATCCACTGTTCCTAAATTTGCGAAATCCTTCTTTAGTATAAAATATATTACCTGTGGTGCCCGCCAACGCCAATTAAATCGTCATATTACATAAGTCTTAAGAACATACCACATTACAATCGTTCACCCAGTGTGATTCAATTAATATCGCTGATTGGGGATCCTCGTGAAGTAGGGCTTCTGCTCAAGGTACGAGGAGAACGCTTACGAGGATGCTAAAAAAAACCTACCTTTATATTCCAAAATTTGTCTCATTCCTATTGCCCCGGCTGACAAAAACAAAGATATGAGAAATTACATTTCATATATATATATTTATACATAGCTTATATTGTTTTCTCCCTCTAAAAAATTAGTATGTGTTAGAACTTCATTATACCAACTTTAGCCTGAATTACAGCATGCATATACTGTGGTATTATTTTAGCAGTGTTGTGCAATTTCCACATTTATTATTGTCTGAGATTACATCAACAAAATTATCAATTCTCTTAGTTGAACCATTCCTCCAATTATTCTCTAGTGTATCCTGTATTGGATTGCAATCAGTCCAGTGATCTGTTGATTTTTGTGAATAGTCTCATGCTGCTCAAATAAATATTTCATAATTTGAGTTCAGTGGATCTTTGTATTATTATCCTGGAATATACCATTGCCTTTAATGAAGGGGGGAAAAACCATTGATGCAGTAAGATGGTCATATAATGCATTCATATACTCAGCTGACATTTTTGCTTCACAGCTTTGCCAAGTTTTGTTCACTAGGCCTAAACTTTTATTTTTATTTATTTATTTTTTATTTTTTAAATGCTTCTGTAGTACAGGGTGCGACAAAAATAACTCTCTGATTTGTGAAGTTAATAATATGCGAACCAAATAAGAGAAGATATTCTTTATATTCTTTTTTTTATTTTCTCGAAAATACACATAGTGCCATTTCCATCTTTTTTTTTTTGCGGAGGGGGTACAAAACATCACTCAAGTGGTGGCTTTCATTGTTTACGCACTGATTTAACCCTTTCTCGATAGTTGTCCAAGAGTCTTTTTGGGTTTAATGGCAGCAAATTTCTCTTACATAATTTCCTTCAGAGTTTTTAAAGTCGGACACCCAGTGGTAAATGGTTTATCTATTGATAGGATCTCATTGACCGGGTATGAAGTGGATGAAAAAGGCGAGGTCCCTTGCTATCATCAGTTCATCATTGTGAATAAACTGCAATACAACAAAACCGTGATGTGATCTATTCTGAAATGACATGTAAATTACTATTCGACGGTGTGCTTTCAATCAGTGTACCCCTTCCTGAACCATAGCTGTGCTATTCCTAAATCAGGGAGTTCTTTTCTGTTTCCCTGTGTAGGCATAAAGGGTCTAATTCTTTATATAGTTTTATCTAACTTTAATAAATCCATCTTGGCGGAAAAGCCTAAATCTGGATTTACTAGATCTGTTATCATTACCCTCAGAGTTCAATCCTTATTGTTGCTTGGAAAATTGAAATCTAACTTACAAGTGATTTCCTTTTCACGACACATCTGTTTAACCCAAATCCCAATAGTTCTTAGC